CGGTCAGAGTGGACATTTTCTGTACAGATTTGGTGGTAGTGGTGCCAGTTGGACTACCGTTTTGATTCAGCGCAGAACAGACCATTCTAATTGTTTATTATTGTTTGGGTAAAAAGTAGTCCCAAAAAGTTAAAAACATTGTAAACACCAGGGTTCAACTTACGACTCCATGCGAATGCGATTGATGGCGCTGATGAAGCGCTTGCGGGCGACATAGGCGTCAAAGGGGCTGCTCTGGCGGTCATAGCGACGACGGTGGCCACACCGGTGTCCGTGCCCATCCACGTCCTCCATGTCATCAGAGTGGCTGAGTCGGGCGATTTCACTCCAGGCTGGGTCACGGAGCATGGCCACCACTTCCACAGCGGGAGGTTTGGGAGGTTGAACTGTGGTCGCCGTTGAACAGTGGAGCTCCGCAATGGAGGACGTTGAGTGGGAGTGTGACGAGTGGGCGTGGCTCAATGGGCCATTTGGGGAGGGCAAGGAAAGGCTGGTTTTGTGATGCTGGGAATTAGAAGGATGGTGTTCGCTGGGAAGGGAGGAGAAGAAGTTGGTGAAGAAAGTGTTGGCGGCTGAAGGTCGGTGACGAGGTAGCAGACTAGCACCGGACTGCTCCTCCACCACTGGACTGCAGGCTCGACTTGATTCGCGACTGCTGGCGATGCTCGTTTTTGAGGAGCTTCGAAGTTTATTATGATTTCCACACGGACCGTCCTCTGCCACGACCAGGTAGGTGGAGAGAATGTCGAGGGCGTTGGCCGTTTGCACCTTCTGCTGGCGGCGTTTGATGCCGTTCAGTTCGGAGGCGGAGAAGGAGCGGTGAGAGGCGAAGCGGTTCCTTTTGGCACGGACGTCTGCAGAGGCGGCCGCCGCCGCTGCCGTGAACATGATTTTTGGGTTCTGGTATTTGGTTGAAAGCAAAAAAGAATGTTGTTTTTACGCAAAAAACGCTATTTATACAGAAGATGCTGACGATGATTGAAGTGAATGCAAAGAGGACTGCTCTTCTCTGTCGTGTTTCAAAAACAAAATGCAAAATGAGGGTAATTCTGTTGTCTTGCAGGTAGGTTACAGCTGCAGAAAAACATTAAAATCAAGTGGACAATCAGTCTCCTGTGGCGTAGGCCACCGACTGAACTGAGCTGAACTGAACTGAAGTGCTCAACTGCTGCTGGCAAACTAGTATCTGCTTTTCTGTTGCCGTTTTTTTTGTTTCCTTGCTGAGAATGAACAGACCACTGCACCGGTGCTCTCGCTTTCTCTTTTTTTCCCTATTCCCGTCCACATTAATAGTATTAGTAAAAGTAATAGCAACAGTGCAATGATGACAGTGTCTGTGTACCTAAAAGACGGCAGCGGCAGAAGAGGAAGAGGAGAAAAGTGATCCAACTGCGGCACCGGCAGCAGCAGTTGCCATAGAAAGCACTACTATAGAAGCGAAGGAAAAATATGGAAGCAAAAGGAAAAAGAATACAACAAAAAATTGAAAACAGGCTCACAAACACACACACAGGCACAGGATCACCCGAATCATCAGTCAGCCGGCCCGTTAAAACCACTGCAGTGGGCTCACTTGAAACGACTACTGAACTCTGTGTACAGAGGAACAGGCAGGCACTTCATTTCCTTTCAATTGGTCACATCGGTGCCAGTGTTTACACTCACTGGTGATGATCAATGTTGCCGTTCAGTGTCGAGGCCTTCGAGGTGGTGGTAGTGGTGGTGATCGTCATTAAGGAGATGACTAAATAATACTTGAAAAACAGTTTGTCAGAAAAGTGGCCTGCGAGGGTGGTGGTGGTGTTCAATACGGTTCGATATCGACTAAGTGTGCCATTTAGTGTACGGCGGCCACCCAAAGTGTGTGTTTGTGCTTGTGTTTGTTTCTGCTAATTGAACTTGTCCATTAGTTGCATTAGTTTTTTCTGGTAAACTTTCTTCTCCTTTTTCTTCCAGAAACAAAAGTCTGCTGAAGCTCCTCGAGCGGTGATATCGTTACCAAGAACACCGGTTTTTAGCTGGAACTGAGAAGCAGTAGCAGTAACAAAAAGACATTTTGTTCTAGAAAAGGAAAAGCATTCACCCCTCAAAAATATTATTCTTTCTCTATTGAGTGTTGTTTAAAACCTGGCAAGCCATTTTTAACTTTGTCTTTTTGTAGATTAATTTAGCTGACAGCCCCTAATAAAACTGTGCTGCGTTTGGTTTGACAGCATTCGGTTTGAGGTCGACTCAAGTCGGTGACGCAAGTGGCGTCTTTTAAAAACAAAGAGCTCTCTTGCTCTCTTGTACAAAAGTTCCACTGCTAAAACAAAGCTCAATACTTGGCTTATATCGACCACTTCGACCACTTGTCAACTCATCGACGAAAAAACCTGCAATTTTCTACCACAAAGTTTGTCTCTTGATTGGAGATGATGTCACCGTCATCATCATCACCAGCGTAGATCAATCAATAAAAGGAGAAAGAAAGAAAAAGAGAGAGACAGAGGAAGAATGCACCAAAATGTCTGAATCTATCGGAAACTGATTCTAACCTCAAAAAACTGTTTTCTCCACTTTTACCTAAACTGTCCTTTTTCCACTACTCAAGTCGAGAGAACCAGAAGGGAAAATAGACACATTAGCGGGTACTTTACTGCCCTGCTGCTATTCAATTCATTGAGTGGGTCATTTTTTCTTCTGCTGCCGCCTTAGAAAAGAACAGTAAAGTGTGTGCGTGTGGAGGGGTCGATCGATTTTCCCATTTTTTCAGCCTCTTTTCTCTTTAGTAGTTTTCGTTTCAGTGGACAATATTTTTGTATCGCACACAGTGGTGGTGAGAATAGAAAAAAATTCTCGTGTGTTTTTTTTCAGTAAAAAACTCTTGGTTTGTGTACTGTAGAAAATGATTTCCTTAGAAGGCAAACTGAAAACTGGGGTGTGTTCTAGTTCCCCTACAAAGTACACTGTTGTGTGTGTGTTGACACAGATGATCGCCTCGCCGATATGGGATTGAGCTTAAATGGTGGTAGCTTCACCGTTCCGCTCAAACGGTATTGATTTTTCATTTCACCATTTTCATTTCCTTCTCTGCGATTCCCTTCCCTCCCGGCTGCTTCAGCTGTTTTTAGGTCAACAATGCGTGCAATCAGCAGCAGCAGCAGTGCTGTTTTTGTTTGCCCGCCGCCGCGTTTCAGCTGGCAGTACACCACCAGTTCGGCTTATCGTTTTAGCTTACCTGAACTTCTTTGTTTGCATTCTGGGCTTTTTGTTTTCAAAATATTATGAATCCTGATGATAATGAAAAGTCGTCTCTTTACTGAGCGGAGACGACGCAAACAAGGGTGCAGTTTTCTGTGTGTGTTTTGATAGCTTATTTGTCGGGATAAACTGTACATTGTGTACCAGAGCTTTTTAGCAGTAACTTTCCAAGAAAGAGCCTGAGCTTAAGGGCAACCCTCTCTTAATATTTCTGAGAAGGGGCCCAGGATGAATACTTATCATTTTAAAAAACACACTTTTTACTGTTTAGCTCAATTCTACCTTTTTTGTCTGTTTCAATAAGATGATTCTTTTTGACGAATTCTCAGACACGTGAGCAAAAGGCTGGCAAGGTGTGACACGTCACACACCGCTTTCTCACAAATCACATTTTAGAAAAAATAGAACTTTGGCATTTGCGGCACACGTCAGCGCTGACTGACTGGCTTTCACCAGAGTAGAGAGACAAAAACAGCAGCCGCTGGGCGCTGTACTGATCAATTTTATAACTCCCTCTCCTTTGTTTAGAGCTCACTTTTCATAAAATCACCCACCCTCTCACCCTTTTTTGGCGAATCCATCTCCTAAGCAGTCATGACGACCACTTCACCGTCGGCCACTTTTCTCCTTGTCGCCGTCCTCGCCGCTTGCCACCTTCCGCCTCTCACTGCCTGGCAGCTCAATGGCACTGACGACAAAGAGGTATAGCGCGTCATCACTTCTGCAAAAAAATGTTTCATTCCTCTCATTCTTTCACCACCACAACCACCACCACCGTAGATCATCGCCGACCTGTGCGAAGAGTGGCTCGATGTTCATGTGCCCCGCTTCCTGGTGGGCATGGGCATAGTGAAGGAGCATTTCTACGTGGCCGATAACTTCTTCAATCTGGTGCGCGTCCCCGTGCGGCAGTTTGTCCTCGCATCTGGAGAGGGCGGCCAGATGAGAGCCTCGCTGAACCTCACCGCCGACGCCCAGGTGGTCAACTACCAGCACCGCTTCGGCAATTTGTCGCTACCTGAAGAGACCATCAAGGAGCTCAGTTATCAGATGAGCGTCTTCTTCGTGAGGGGCAGCAGTTCCGCCTCCGAGCACTTGTTGTTTCCCTATGACGCCTTTGCTTTCTTTGTGAGGATTAAGCCAAACCCTCCCTTTTTGCTGTTCAGCTCTCTGGAGGACCTGGAAGAGAGCCTTGTCAGAAAGGAGGTGTTTATCAAGAAAGGATCCAAGAACGACTACTACACCTTGTTGTCCGCTGATGATCGTCCAATGGTTTTATTTACAGAAGATAAAATGGGATTTATTGACCGACTGATTGCTCAGGGAGAATGGACGTAAGAGAATGGGACGGGTATTGTGATTTAGGGTGAAACTCACGGTTTTTTCTTTCTTTCTTCTTCTTTGTCCTCATCTTTGGTTACTAACGACAATTCGGCCGACTCGGTGTACAACTCAGGCTGCAAACGAACAGCTGGGCCTTGACTGGTGATCTTCTCTCCAAGCCGAAACCTGGCGAAGTCCTAGGCGGCTTCTACCTGGCTGAGGGCAACCGGACGGTGTTGCTCAAAATCAATCGCACGGTGGAAATCTACGAAAATGACTCTCTGGTGAAGGTGATAAAGTTCACAGACTTTTTCCGCTGCAACCCGGGCGGTGGTGGTGGTCTATTCAACGGTCTGCGCCTCCTCACCACCTTCGGCATTCTCGGGGTGGTCTTTGCGCTGCTCTCGGTGCTCTGCTGCTACCTCTGTGCGCAGTACGGTGGCGGCAAGGGCAAGGACAGCGCCAGTGAACGCGCCAAGACAAAGTCCAAATCGAAAACGGCGGGCAAGGTGGCCACCACCACTTCTACCGCCACTACGACCACCGGCAGAAGCATCAAGGGAGGAGGCAACCCTTCCAAGAAGGTAGGCAGTTCGGCGAGTTCGACGACCACTTCGGACAAGACCACCACCACTACCACCCCCTTGAAGGAGGCTCCTGCCTCGGCCACTGGAGCTAAATCAGGCGCTGGAGCTAAATCAGGCGCTGGCGGCACTTCCACCGCCTCTGCCGCCGCCGCCGGTAAAATGCCCTCGGTGAAGGCGTCGTCTGCGGCTGCTGCTGCCGCCGCCTCCGGCACCAAGGCCAATTAGGGGCAGCAGCAGCAGAAGTTTCATTTATGATCATCATTTGTATTATTCTTATTACTTTTTTCACTATTGTTATTATTACTAATACTATTTACTAGCTCTTACGTGGCCACCATTGTTCCCTTTTTTGCTAAAGGCAGATTTTAGAATTTTAATAAAGCTACTACGTAAAGCAGTCGTTGCGCGCATTTGGTCGGATTTGGTCGCTAGCTCGCTCAATCAATCACTGCTACTCACATCACCGTCATCACTAGTTCATCTCGTCGATTAGAAAAGATCAGTGTTTTTCTTTGCCCGAAGACACTATTTGTCTCTGTTTGGTGAAGCTCAAGCCAATTGCCTCCAAGCAGTCATGACCGCTTCACCATCGGCCATTCTTCTCTTTGCCGCCGTTGTCGCTGTTTTTCATTCCCCGCTTCAAGTTGCCGGTCAGAATGAAACTGATGACCAAAAGGTACACCGGCACCAGTTGTTCGTCATTACTTTTGCAAAGTTTCATTTTTCTCACACTCTCATTCTACCACCACCACCTTAGAATATGTTTGATGTTTGCAAGAAGTGGCTCAATGTCCAAAGAAACACACTGCTTGGGGATCTTTCTGATGCAGGGTTTTCTTTCCGATTGAAGGTGGCTTCTACCAACGGAAGCTGAACCGGTTCTTTTTGCTTAAAGAGCTTCAAGAAAAAATTGAGGGAAAATACGTGAACAAATTGGAGGTGCACATCTACACGGACAACACTCTGGTGGCGCGTATACCGTACAAGGACTTTTTCCTCTGCGAGTCGGTCAGTCCCCTCAGCCGCATCAGCTACTTCCTCGCAACTAGCATTTTTGGAGTGCTCACTGTGTTGCTCGTGGTGGTCTACTGTTGCTTCTGTGTCCTCTTCGGAGGCAAAACCAAGGGCGGCACTGGGGAGAGCGGCCATTCCAAGCTGAAGAAACCGAAGAAGGCAGGCAAGACTACCACCGCCGCCACAGCCACCGCCATCACCCCCACTCCTACCGCCACCAGGAAGGAAGGTTCATCCAGCAAAGGTGCCACCACCACCACCACCACTCCCATCACCCCTGGCAAAACCACCGCTGGAACTGGAACCAATACTGCCACCATTATAAAAGACAAGACGTTGATGAAGAAGGCCAAGACCAGCAAGTAGAAGCATTCCAGCGGCGTTTGTTTTCACTTCGATTAATATTCCCATTACTTGTTATCAATTTCTACTTTTTCTCCAGCTTTTTGTCCAGTCTTAAAGTCACCGGGGCACAGAACAAATGTGGCCAATCTCTGCTTTTTCTACGGCAATGAATCATAGACAATGATGCAACAGTATTTCGTCAGCGTAACTGCATCTGTGAATAGTAGCGCTCACCAATAAGGCGCTGCTTTGGTGAAGCCGTTGAGGAACAGGCGCTCACTTGGCCGAGTCATTTGAGAACCTGACGCCGACCAGAGCAGTCATTTCGCTTTCTCCTCATCTCCCCAACTCATCTCGCTCACGTCGAAGCCTCTCTCGAAAACATCTCTCGAAGCAACATCACCGACGACATGTCTCAGACAAGCAGCCAGGAGAGCAAGCCAGCGAAGGAGACAGTCAGCAAGGCGACCACCGGCAAGGCGACAACCGGCAAGGCGACCACCGGCAAAGCGATGAAGAAGCCCGGCAAGGCCCTGAAGTCGGTTCGCAAGACGGACATGTCGAAGAAGAAGCGCAAGAGCAAGCGCAAGGAGAGCTTCTCCATCTACATCTACAAGGTGCTGAAGCAGGTGCACCCGGACACTGGAGTCAGCTCGAAGGCCATGTCTATCATGAACTCCTTCGTGAATGACATCTTCGAGCGCATCGCCGCCGAAGCGAGCCGCCTTTCGCACTACAACCAGCGCTCCACCATCACCAGCCGCGAGGTGCAGACCGCCGTCCGCCTGCTGCTGCCCGGTGAGCTGGCCAAGCACGCCGTCTCCGAGGGCACCAAGGCCGTGACCAAGTACACCGCCAGCAAGTAGGGTGATCCCCCCTCCGGGCGTGATTCCCTCTGGCCAACCGAATATCTACTTCTATTACATCTCCTATTATAACCACTAGAAAAATGCTCACCCTCTCCCCCATCATCAAACGGCCCTTTTCAGGGCCATCTATCCTTTCTTTTTTTCTATCCTCTTCTATTCATGAGCATTTCTTACTACTATTATTATTCATTCCAAATTGATCTGTAAAAAAACATTTCACAAATAAAACTGTTTAGAAATTATTCGGTTCTCTTTTCGCTGATGAGCTTTTCACTCAAATTCTAAAGTGTAAAGATGATGACATCAATGGTAACGATGTGTGTGGTATTTGAAAACGTGTTCCGACGACCATGCTCGATTCTGTTCACATGAACACTGGATTTGTAGAAGAGACGATTGACTGAGGGAAAATGGTACTTTTATTGAGTAATTTTTATGGGTAATAATACAAGTGATAATGAATAGATAATGCTCAATTTCGGAAGAGAAAGTAGTCCGGAAAAGGACTTGATAGAGCATGGGAGAAGTTGGCAGCTGGGCACGTTTAGCCGCCGAAGCCGTACAGAGTGCGTCCCTGGCGCTTCAGAGCGTAGACGACGTCCATGGCGGTGACGGTCTTGCGCTTGGCGTGCTCGGTGTAGGTCACAGCATCGCGGATGACGTTCTCCAGAAAGACCTTCAGGACGCCGCGAGTCTCCTCGTAGATCAGGCCGCTGATGCGCTTCACGCCGCCTCGACGAGCCAGACGGCGGATGGCAGGCTTGGTGATGCCCTGAATGTTGTCGCGGAGGACCTTGCGATGGCGCTTGGCGCCTCCCTTGCCGAGTCCTTTGCCTCCCTGTAAAAAATGGGTAGAAAAGGAAAGAGTTAGAATTGGTGAAGGCGACCAGAACTCAAGGACAGACGAACTTTGCCGCGGCCAGACATTGTGCAGAAGTTGAGTTTCCGAGAGAAATCAAAGATGACGAGAGAAAGNAGAACTCAAGGACAGACGAACTTTGCCGCGGCCGGACATTGTGCAGAAGTTGAGTTTCCGAGAGAAATCAAAGATGGGGAGAGAAAGTTGAGATGTTGCCTTGACGACGACCAACGAGCGAATGACACTTCAGCGCGCTTGCAGCCCCCAAGTGTACATCTTTTTGCGCCANCGACCAACGAGCGAGTGACACTTCAGCGCGCTTGCAGCCCCCAAGTGTACATCTTTTTGCGCCAAAAATCCCAGCAGGGCTTCTCGTAGTAGAAAAGGAGGAGGAGCTTTTTTGTTTGTGCAAGTAGTGCTGACATGCATTACCAAGGAACGGGAAAGCTCCACCCTCCTTTTTGACGCAAAATTTTGGCGCTCTTTTTCGGAGAGCTCTTCGTAAAGTACAGTCTGCTGGTGTGTGTTTTCTTCGAGCACTTTCCATGATGATTTAATGATTCTTCATTTCGAGAAGACAGGAATTCCAGGAATGTTCAGGTTTTCAGGAACCGGTTGAATCTTACTGAGATCTTAGCGCCCGACACCCTAAGTGAACTCACCCTCGATGGGGCGAGGTGAAAAGCATAGCTTCAGAGAAAGAGCATAGTTTTCCTTCTCCCTTTGCAATACCCAAATGAGAACTCTTTGATCGCGAACAAAGGAGCTCAGACGACCCATGCAAAGACAAACAAAAGCTCAAGTATTGTAGGAATTATAAAAACCTTTATTTGGGGGATAATTGATAATATGTAGTTAACAATAGTGTATCAAAATGAATGGAATAGTGGTACACACCAGCGAGGAATGTGCCCACAGTTGGGCAGCTGGTGGTAAGGCCCTGAAAAGGGCCGTTTGCACGGGATGGGCAGCATCGGGAGCAGCAGCCTACGCTTAGGCGCGCTCACCACGGATGCGTCGAGCCAGCTGAATGTCCTTCGGCATGATGGTGACGCGCTTGGCGTGGATGGCGCACAGGTTGGTGTCTTCGAAGAGGCCGACCAGGTAGGACTCACTGGCCTCCTGCAGGGCCATCACGGCGGACGACTGAAAGCGCAGGTCGGTCTTGAAGTCCTGGGCAATCTCGCGCACCAGACGCTGGAAGGGCAGCTTGCGGATGAGCAGCTCAGTCGACTTCTGGTAGCGGCGGATCTCACGCAGCGCGACGGTGCCCGGGCGGTAGCGGTGGGGCTTCTTCACGCCGCCAGTCGGGAGAGCGGATTTGCGGGCGGCCTTCGTGGCGAGCTGCTTGCGGGGAGCCTTGCCTCCGGTCCTGCGTTTGGGTGGGGTGGGAAAAGGGAGCTCTGGTTAGTCAAAGGGTTCCAGGAGAGAGAGGGTGGGGATAGATGAGCTTACGATTTGCGGGCAGTCTGCTTGGTGCGAGCCATTGTTGGTGGTGGTGGTGGTGGCAGTTGCGGAGAGTGCGAAGAGCTGGGAGACCTGAGCGGTGGTCGATGTGAACTGGACAAAGACGAGAGCGCGAGTGAGAGAAGGGCGGACAGCGCCCGAGCTTTTATTCTCAGGTTTGAAACAGCAGCGCCGCCGTCGGCGAGCAGCCGCAACCGAGAGGAGGAAAAGGCGGAGCATGAAGGAAAGCGCCACATTTAAATCCAGCGAGCAGTTTCAAGTTCGAGTATACGGATTTTTTATTGACAATGATTTACAATATAAAAAAGAAAATGAAGTAGACTAGAAACTAGAAGAAAGGTGCGGTCCTATGTTATGGTCAAATGGTCTTGAGGAAGTGCCGGCTCACGTTCAGCGTCTTGAACTGCTCCACCAGCGTGGCCGGTATGTCGACGTTGTGCTCCAGGTCGATGGCGGCCAGACTGGAGGCGCCTGAAAGAAAGAGAAAGGGTTGAATGTGTGTTAATCATCGACAGACAAAACTTACCCTCAATCGCCTCGATGAGCGAGCTGTTGCGCAGAAAGGCCGTCCTCCTCAGGCCGCAGCCGGCCAGACTGAGGCGCACCAGGCGGTCGTAGACGGCGACCAGCTGCGAGACGGCGTAGGCGGTGCTCTGCTCGTCATCGGCAGTACCCAGCGCGTTGAAGCTCAGATCGAGCCGGCGCAGGCTGGGGCTGAAGGCGAGCAGACTGGTCAGTCGGCGGGGCGGAAAGGCGGTGCCCGCCAGGTTGAGCACCTGCAGCGAGGGCAGCGAGGCGAGGGCGGTGAGCAGGGCGTCCAGCGTCTTGCGGTGCAGGAGAAGGTTCGAGAAGGAGACGTTCTGCAAGGAAAAGTAAAACAGGTAGAAATAGAAATGGAACATCAACAAGAACAAGAACAAGAGCTCTTACAATTTCCTTAATCTCCTGTCGGTAGAGACTCTGCAGCATGAGCTGATTCTGGCGAACGGCCCCGAGAAAGGAGTCGGCCACGTTGAAGCATCCGCTGACGCGAAGCGAGGACAGCGTCTCGGCCAGCTCCTCGCAAACCTCCACCTCGCCGGCCTCCTTGCAGAGCTCGCGAAAGCGCTTCGCCGGATCTTCCGTACTGTAAGACTCGATGCGCGCCTTGAACACCGGTTTACCACCGCCAATGCCGCGAATCATGTCCACCACCAGGTCCTCGGCGCTGATGATCGCCCCCTCGGTGGTGTACAGCGAGATGACCGGCTTCACGGAGAACTTGCGGTAGTACCGCTTGCAAAGCTCCGCGGAGAGCCACTCAAAGGTGAGCGAAGTGGAGGAGGAGGAGGAGAGAGTGGCGGGCAGTGGAATGGCAAAGGAGCTCCGCTCGGCGTCGTCAAACTGGACGATGATGATCTTGCTGAAGTTGTTGTCATTTGTGGTGGCGACTGCTGCTGCTGCTGCTGGTAATGAGGGTAATGGATCAGCTAGGGCTGAGGAGCATTCAGCTTTCCTTTCCTTCTCTTCTCCCTCTTCAAGGACTGAGTTCAGCGGCGATGACGCCAGTTCGATGGTGGTGGTCAGCTGATCACCATCACCAGTGTTCAGCTCCCCTTCCTGACTGTCCGGCAGCAGCTCATTGTCCTCTTCGTAGTTGTTGACGTAGTTGCAGTTGAAGTCCTCCCGCACCGAGTGCTCCTCGTCACTGCTTACGTTGAAAGCGTCCTCGTCTTCATTTTCTTTGTCATTCGTTTTCGGTGGTGATGATCTTTCCCGTTCCGAATCAGAGTATCTCCGCCGCTTCTTGGGACTGGACGTGTAGGCGTTCTGATGGCTCCGATGGCCCTCTCGGCTGCCTCGCTTCTTTGCATTACTGAAGATGCCCAGGTCGTCGATGAGCCAGTCGTCTCGGGGCGCCTCCTCCTCGGCCGCAATGAGGGCGGACACCTCCTTCGTGCGGTTCTTCCTCGCGGCCAGCTTCGCCAGCCGAGCGGGCATCACCCCCTTGCCTGGTCGCCGTCCCACAGTCTCAATGGCGGTCAGGTACTCCAGCCGGCCACGACCTGGCTCGTCAATGTCCGCCTCGCCCGCGTCCACCTCTTTGGTGGCGTCCAGCGACTCTCTTTCGTCGTAGATATCGCCGCCGGTCAGATTTCGAACCGGTCGCTTCTTTGAGGAGGTCTCATCGCTGGCTCCTTTCGAACTGCTGCCACCACCACCGGCAATCTTCTTCCTGAGCGAGTCCAGGCTGAAGCCCTTCTCTGCCATCCGCGCCAGCATCTCCCGCTCCAGGTGGACACTGTCGGCGAGCTCCTCCTTGCTCAGCTGATCACCACCACCACCTCCACTTGATCCCTTGATGCGTCGGTTCATCAGCCGCTCCACCGGCGTCTCGCCCTTGCCGTTGCGGGCGCACACGTCGGCGCCGTAGCGAAGCAGCAGCCGGGCGATGCCGAGGTGGCCATTCTCGCAGGCGTCGTGGAGGGGCGTCAGCAGCTCGCTGCGCTCGTCCACCGGGTCCACGGTGGCGCCCGCCCTTAGCAGCGCCTCCACCACCTCGAGGTGGCCGTGGTTGCAGGCCTCGTGCAGCGGCGTCCAGCCGCAGTTGTCCTTCGGGTTCAGCGGCGCCCGCTCCTGCTCGATCAGCCGCTCCACCAGACTGACGTTGCCGGCGATGGCCGCCGTGTGCAGCGGCGTCTCGCCGAACTGGTTTCGCCGAGTCGGGTTCGGCAGGC